GGGGGGGGGGGGGGGGGGGTGATCTCTTTTTGTAGGGGTCTTCTTGGGTAGTAGGGGATGATCCATAGCAGATGAGAGTGGTCTTTGCCTGTCTAGGGCTTTGTGGTATGGCCATAGTCTCTGTGACTTGTAAATCTAGTGTTGAGTCATACTATACTTGAGAAACCCCTTTCGGTAATGTTTCTTGGCAGTTTGACCAGGGATATGGTCCAAGAATGCCTCCTGAATTATCTGTAATAACCTTGGTATCCTCTGTGGTACAGATTCCTTTCTGTGCTTGTTCGGTGCCATAGAAACTAGTCATAACGTCGACAATTCTCCATTGAATTAAGGGTCTAGCTTTGCAATCATAGAAATAAATAGAGTGGAGGAAATGATTGGCAGGAATTTTCGTTTGCATGAAACATATTATGGTAGCAGTAGTTTTTAACTCCAGGACTATTGTAACACTACAATGGTAATACTCAAGTGCTAGAAAATGAACTGTAAAATGTAATTTCAAGCTGTGAGTTGTAGTATGAGGAAAATTTTATGAGCCTTGTATTTGGTTAATTCAATTTCAATATTAATGGCTTTAGTGCTCTAAGCAACTTATTCAGTGGCGTACGTGTTAAAAATTTTCCTTCTATGCATCTTGAGTGCTATAATGCCCACTGATCGGTCTGCATTAGCTCTTCTGAGATCAACTAATTTTCTTACTGATTGTTCTAGTGTGGATTATTCTTTGTCTGCATGGTTAGGTTGGAAATGCTGAAGCGTTAAATTGCTATTATGCACATGGAGAGCACAATCCCAATTTCCAGAGACGTAGCTATTGGATGTTGGATCCGTGAGTTTTCCTTTTCCATTATAGAGTGCACAGTCATGTTATCATGTTTTAGAGCCTACTTTCTCCCTCCCAACTTAACCATCTGCCAATTTATCCTGTAAAGCCTAAACACTTCAATTCTATTAATTTGTGTGTGTTCTACATATGCTATATATGCTATATTCTTCCACGTACAATTGGTTGGACACTCAAACCATGGTTTTTATATTTCAATTTCAATTTTTATTTATTTATTTTTATTTTTTGAAATAGCACATGAACATAGCCAGAATTTATACAAGAGTAATAAATTTTGAACAGAAAATTCCCCTTACTTTGTTTTTTAACGTATATTTGTGATCTATTAACACAGTTGGGTTTTTATTTTCTTATAGTATATTGAATAACAGTTTGGTTTTGAATTTTCTTTCCAAATATTTATTACTCTTGATGCATTTGTGATCTATTAATATATATTTTTTAAAATGCATCATGTTAAACCTATTGTGAATCTGTGATTCCAGTTGTTGTAATTATGGACAACAGCTATGAGCATAATTTCTCATGCATTGAACCAATTTTAGAGCCCCAATTTTTAAAGAAGATTTCCGCAAGGAGTGCTCAAATGGTATAGGAAAACCAAAAGAGGAGGGGAAACAGGAAATGACCAGAAAAAGAAAGAATAAAGGGGGTAACACCCAACAAATAGAAAAGAACTAACTGGCGAAGATGTGGGCTAAGTGGTCAACAATTGACCACCAACACTGATTATGTTATTTAATATTTAGAGCATATTTAGAGCAAGTGTATGTAAAGTTTGTTATTAGAAATTTATGTGCTTATGTTTAATTTTCTTGGCAGGTCATTTGACCACATTGTTCTGGTACACTATAGAGATATTAATGAGGTGAGTTACTACATGCACTGAATAGATAAAGCAAGAGTGAGCTAGTATTGTCACTATTCTTTTATTTATAAATACCGAATTTATCAATATCATTCTGTTTTTCAGCTTGTATCTATGTTTTCATTTCTTCTTTCAAGGTTGGAATGGTTATCTTATGTGATTAATTGATAAAAAAAATTAATTATCCTGTTACTTGTCTTATACATGCTTATGAATGTCTATTTTTTGCTTGTGATTTTACATGCTTCCAAGTTTTTTTGACATGACTTCTAATAAAAAAAATGAACTCCCCATGCTTCTTGCCCAGTAAAACCAACTTCTGTTAGGCGATGCTTAAGTGCCTTACATCTTTGAAGTAATGCTTAGGTGCATTTGACCACTTTGTTAGGCATTCTAAATGCATTTTTTTTTCTTTCCTGCCTTTATATAATCAGACTTTCATTAAGGGTGAAACTACAGAAGAGAAGGCCACATAGAAATAATGGTACTTAATACTATACATGATATAAATATATAGTTTGGGGGCGTTTTTGGAGTCAAATTAGTTTAAGAATTATTTTTCTATCAATACAGAGGGATCGTTGCCTTGTTAGCATTAGGTTCCCATGATGAGCCATCCCTTGAGCCTGGTATATGAATAGTCCGGCTAAGAATGTTAATTATGATGGTACTTTATTCGTGTGTGGGTGTGAACATTTTTTTTTTTTTGAGAAAATAGGAACCAGGTTTCATTATAGATTTTTGTGCTAGTTTTTTTTCAAGGATTTTTGTCGAACTCCAAAACCCATGAATACCATACAAGTTTATGCCAGCAATTCTGTGTTTGTAATATCATTATATATTCAGCTAGAGATCTTATTCTATTTTTAGGGATGACAGATATGTTGGTTCCACCAAGTCTGTATTTGTATTATATGACATTTAAGCACATATTTATTCTGTTTTGAGTAAATTTGTTCAACATTCACGTGAGATTTCTGTTGCAGGGAAGGCCTGGGACGGAAAGTGTTCCACAATTATCTCCAGCATCGGCTTCTACTTTTGGTTCCCATTCATCTCAAAGTTTTGCTTTGGAACATCGACAGAGTTCATTGAGCCCAGGGTCTGTAGAAGTTAGTTCTGACACTGGAAACCGTACTGTTGGGTCAAATGGTGCGGATGGGCAGCATGAAATATCAGAATTAAAAAACGAATGTGAGGTTTCTCAAGCTTTGAGAAGGATAGAGGAGCAATTAAGTTTGAACGAAGACAGCTTGAAAGACATTGATCCATTTTATGGTCACGAGGAAGGTTCAAATTCTAACCTTATAGACTACTATGAGATGTCCAATGACGATCAGTTTTCAGTGCTTCAGCATTCAGAAAATGCTATCCGTGATAATAATTATACATCGTTTGAAATCCAAGGTAATTTTAACACAATGCTGCTGTTTCGGGATATTTTTTTGTAAGCATTATCATTATATGGAGAATTGTGGAGAACTTAAATATGATCTAATTGCTTGTTGGAATCCCTTAGATTCAGGCTCTTAATTCTACTTTCCATGCAGAGGTTTCTTTCTTGTGTTGCTATATTTTACAGATGGAACAAAATGATTTTTGGCTACTATTTTATGGGGGTCCAAAGCAAAGTTGATGCTTAACACCTCACCACCACCCCCCGAAGACACGCACACATTCTTTTACTTAATAGAATGTTCCTTTTGCCCATTCCACCCATGTTTTTTTCCTTCTTCCTGTAACAGTCTTTAAATTTGCTAGTATTACTTGATTGGGATGTTTTTTT